GCAGATCGGTGTCCCCATTCCAATGCACTTGCTTCACTGGATTTAAAAGATTATAGGAAATACACGAAATACATAGAAATACATTTTTCAAATACAGCAAAGCATGACTGTGAGTTCATAACTCATGGTTACTAGAGCAAGAAGAGAGTTTTCCTTTTTTCTCTTTCAAGTGCACTTCGGGGGCATCAGTCGACCTCTGGCCAGAGTTCCATGCTTGGTGCATGTGCTTAAGGGCAGAAGGGGCAGGAGAGGGGCAAAGAAGGGGTGCAGGGGGAGGGCTGGTCTCCCAGGTCACCCCAGCGCAGACCGGCAACACCATGCCAGTCGCCAATTCTCCGTGACATTCATGTTTGACTCTTGGCTAGGAACGAGACCCCAGCCTGGCTTACCTGAACGCTGGGGGCTGCTCTCTTGTCCAAGATGGCACGAGCATCAGTGGCTGCTGTCCTCTGGCCACAACAATGGCTCTCAAACTTGGATATACTTTAGAATCATCTGAAGGCTTTTACCACAGACCTCCCCACCAAATGCTGACTGCATTCGTCTGGGAAGGGCCTGGCTATCAGCATCTTTAAGTGCTCCTGGGGGTTCTAAGACGCCTTGCAGAGCAAGGAGATCAACTGTTGCCTGGATTTCACAAACAGGTTTAATACGAAGCCAAGAAGCCTGGCTTGACGGCAATGACAAGGACGCCCCCAAGGACCTGAGGCTCGTATGGAGCATGTGGGGAAAACAAAGGCCCTAGCAAACTCTCCCCTGTCTGCTGACAGCAAGATCAGTGCTCCCCCAGAACTTGGCACTGGAAAGATGCCCAGAGGCCACCTTCTCAGAGACCCCCAAGGGGTTCTTCTAACCTCAGCTTGTACAGAAAAGCCCCTGGTGGCCACTGGACACTCCCCCCTGCCCAGCACTGCCTCCTTCCACAGCACTGGAGCTGGGGCCTCACACCCTTAAAACACAGATGCCCTTTAGCCTTTCTGTAGCCAAGTGAAGGGCAGGCTTCGGGGGGGTGCACTGAAGCCCCCCCCCCACTCCTACTTATCTCTCCAGCCTCATTGCAACTTCCTCTGCCAAGTGATATTTCACTGCACAAGGGGGAAGGGTGCAGTGGATGGTCTCGCTCTGCTCCTCCTCTGAGCCACAGTGCAGTGGTCAGCAGCAAGGGCTATGGAACCACCAAACGCATGTCCCAGCTCCTTCCTCCCTGGCTGTGTGACTTACCAGGTAACCGGCTCGCAACCCGATTTCTGTGAGTCTGAGAAGCAGCGGCTATAAGACGGAAGGGAAAACTCTGCCTAGCCTGTAGGTCGGTGCGGTTTCATGAGCCACCCTGGGCAGCTCCATGGAGGGGAAGATTCAGAAACTGTCCGTAGCGAGCTGCTACAGTCCCCATCTCCCATACTCATGGCTCCCTTCCTCCCTCTATCAGGTCGTCTCCCACCTGGAGCTCTTGCTCCCCTTCCCATGCTTCTCCATCTGCCCTCTGCAGCCTGGACCTGGTTCCCAGCCCCTCCTCAGGTCTTCCAGAAAGCCCTTCCAGATTGTCCCAAACTGCAGTTTCCTAAAGAGAACTCCACAGTTCCCCAGAGCTCTGACCTAATGGAAGACGGAGACCCTAGAGGCACTCCACGCCCTAACACGACAACTCTAAGTTACTCTAACATCTTTGTGGAGTACTTAGCAAATGCCACATAACACCCTTAGCCTTTCCCACGATTGGAATTTAATGCAATAATCCTACATGGTAGATATTATTTTTTAATCCTCCATTTTGCAGACAGAATAAATGAAGGGATTAAGTGCCCTTTGCAAGGTCATATAGCAGGTGATGGGGGCTAGGGGCTCAGTGTCTCATATCCTTCTTCCAAGGCAGTGGATCCTAGGAGTTGAGGGTACAGAGTACCCGAATACAAGTTTCACCTCTGCATATTATTTAACTGTCTCTAAGCAAGGGGTATAACTTCTGTGGGCAGCAGTTTCCTTATCTACAAAATAGGGGTGATAATAGACCCCACACCTAAGGAGCTGCAGTGGGAGAAAAAAGCACTAGCACAGTGCCTGGCACATGGTAAGTCTATATAAATATTGACTATTAATATGATCCATCTCACCCACTTAATTAATAGAGAAGGTTCTGAGGCACAGAGAAAGAAAGGGCCATGGAGGTGATAATCCAGCTAAGCCCTCAGTCTCCTCTTCTTTTCCACCTGCTGGTTGCCTTTTGGCTGTGCTTTGTCCTACAGAGATCACATCTCAGCTTTGTCCTATAGAACCCCACCCTATGACTCAGAGTAGGAAGATAGGAAGAGGTAGGAGAACCTCTCTTTAGGCAGACCATGGGAGGGTGTAGACTCCTCTCTCCTTGGGGCACTCAGAGTTAGAGGAAAGCTTGCTTCCAGGAGACCCCTCCATACCCTGCCTCTTGCATGCTCAGCCTGAATGCCCCTTCCTCCTTGAAGCCCTCCCTGATTCCACCACGTCCACTCACCCTACCCAGCACAAAGTACTTTCTCCTTCCACTGAATTCCCACAGCATCAGCTCCACCTCTGCCACGGGCATGACGTCTCTGAAGTAGCCAGGGCTAGCAGGGTGCAAACCTCTGTCTCTACAGTCCCCTGCCTGTGGCCTTGCCCCATTCTACCCAGGCGAGACACTAAGATTCCAATTTGTCATATGAGTGAGTGAACAAATGAGTGGGTGAGTGAATGAATGAGAGTGACTGAGAGTGCATGAATGGGTAAGTGACTGAGTGAATGAGTGAATGAGTGGGTAAGTGGATAAGTGACTAAGTGAGTGAATAAGTAAATGAGTGAATGGGTGAGTGAATGAATGAATGCGTGAGTGAATGAATGAATAAATGGGTGAATGAATGAATGAATGAGTGAATGAATGAATGAGTGAATGAATGAGTATGTCAGTAGATGAGTGAATTTGTTCCATAGGCCTGGGGTCCCTCACCCAAATCCAGGTCTGAGGGGGACCTGTGGTCAGCTTTGACTCACAGGGCCCCTGGGACCCTCAGCCAGACACTCTTGATAGCCCACCCCAACCCACCCTAATTCAGGGTTCCAGACACAGGGAGGTACCCTTTCCCCTCCCCACCTCTTACTGCTGGGGTTCCCTCAGCCTAGAATGTTCTCCCTGCTCGTCCATCCTTCAGCTCTCATCTGCCAGCAAGTGCTAAGCTTCGCTCAGGGGTTTCAGCCTAGCTTCTCATTGGAATGGCCTGGGGAGACTTAAAAGATCCTGACTACAATGGACCGTGGTGCTGATTTAATGGGTTTGGATTGTGGCTTCAGCACATTTTTCTAAAAGCTCCTGGTGATTCTAATGCACAGCCAGGTTTGAGAACCAAGGATCTGGTTTAAATACCACCTTTTCCATGAATCCTTGCCCACCTTCCCCAAAGAGAACTCCTTTCTTCCTCTTCTGAGCATTACCTGGTGGTGAAGACCCCCTCCCACCTCGCACTGTCCTACCCCCTCCTGGGAGGGTGTCCAACCTTACATCCATCTCACTCATGCCTCTGGGAGGACACCCCTGTGGCCAGGCCCTTGTGTCCTCTCCCAACCCAGGGCTCCCCAAACTGCTGTGCAATTAACCAACACGCAGCTCCCCAGGTCTGGTCCCCACCCCACCTCTACCCTTCCTTTCTGGATGCTTCTCACTACACAACCCCAAGTGTATCTGAGACCCGTGATGAAGGAGCCACGGCCCTGGGCTGGGAGGCAGGACACCTCAACCTGCCACTCACTCCAACCCCTGTGTGGTCTAACGAGTCACTGCTACCCAGGGTCCCCTTTTCCCATCCCCTTGACTAGAGGTTTGGACCAGGTACCCTTTTGGTCTCCTGCCACTGTGTGCCCATCTGGGCCCCCTGCTTCAGCTTCCCTGGGTGGTGGGACCTAGAATCCACTTTCGGCCTCAGTTAAGACCGAGTGAGAGCTCGGCCCGGAGGGAGAGGCCAGCATGACCAGGAGCTTCATTACCAGTTAATGCTCACTGACTGTACGGGGAGCTCAGCCCGCAGGGACCATTACATTTAACTGGGCTGCCGATTAATCAAGTATTTAAACAGATGGCGCTCAGAAGAGCTCCTCAGAAATGGGGAGGATCCAGAGGGAAAAATCGAGCCCTCCAGTCAGGGAAGGGAGCCCCACCCTCCAGCAACTCAGGCACAGTTGAGGTTGGCAAGGCCACCAGGGAGGCCCTGGCCCCAACTCTGCAAGCTCCCACACACCCTACTCTGTGGGCCTGAGTCTGCAGGAGAGGCCTTACACAGACTTCTGGTTCTCAGCCAGGGTCCCTGCCATGTCCTTGGGACACTTGGAAAATGTGCGGAGGATTTGAGGTCATCAGTGGGATTGGGGGTGTTCTGGGCATCTAATGGGGAGAGCTATGATTGCTAAGTGTGCTGCCGTGCATGGCCCCATCCAGCTCCAGGAAGCAGTATCCTCCCCTCTCCGAGTGCTAACAGCAGCCGCAGGAGAACACTGCACCCAGCAGGCTTAGGAATGGGGTCCCTGCTGCAGCCTTGTTCTCTGGCTTCTGGTGGGGTGAGCACAGGAAGAGGGAAATGACCCCGCAGTGCCTGCCCGGGGTTAACCAGGTGCTCTCCAACTCAGCCACTGGCGACAGCTGTGTCCCTGTTGCCACCAGGCCCAGGCTGCTTGCTAACAAGCTCTCTAATAGCCACTCCCCAGCCCAGACACCAGCCCGCTCCCAGCCCCCAGGGGATCAGAGGCGGCCACGTCCAGCCGCCCAGAACAGCCTCCTCCAGAATGAGGCATCCGGGGTAGGATGTCCCCGAGGAGGGCAACCCCAAGGTCACTGCCCAGAGCAGATCCAGGACTCCATCACCCTGCAAGGTTTCCAGAAGGACCCAGGTACCTGTACCCTCCACCACTCTCTACAAAATGGCCAGAGGCCCGGATGCCAGTTTTGAAAGCCTGGCCAGGCTGTGCTGGGAACTCGCTGACCTCCTCAGCACCCCACTCACCTGGGGAGGAGTCGTTCAAACCCATCAGGTCGTTCGCCCTCTGGATCTTCTCCAGGCACATGGCTTGCTCCTTCTTGAAGATGCAGTCAGAGTGCATGGCGGTGGCCTGCGAGGGACACACGGGACACATGGGATGGATGGGAGGAGCAGGCAGGAGGTTCACAGACAAACCCTGCTACCTAAGCCCCGGAGCAATGTGGGGGGTGGGGGTGGGGCAGAAGCAGGGAGAGGATAGTGCCAGAGAGATTTTGGGGCCAGCAGGGGCCCCAAATATCATGAGGGCTCTTCTCCTTCACCAATTCAACATGTGGCCATCAGTGGCTTCCAGCCTTCCTTGAGTCTCAGTTTCCATGTGTTATAATAATATTAGCAAATACACATGCAGCTCCGTCCTGTGTGTGTGCATTATTCTGTTTTACACACACACACACACACACACACACACACACACACACACATACATAACATAGAGCTCAGGAGCTCTACAAAGTAGGTGCTTTTCATCATTCTCCATTCAACAGATGTGAACCCTAAGCACAGAGACGTTAGGTAACTTTCTCAAGATCACTTAGCTTAGCAGACTGTGCAGCGAGGACCAGAACCTAGGCAGTCTGGCTCCAGAGACCAGGGGACTAGCACTGTACTTCAGGGGAGCAAGCAGGGGTGGGAGAGAGAAGGGGCTAAGGGAGCTCATCCTCTCTCCCCTCTGGGGGCTCAGGAGGCGTGCACACCCAGGTGCTGCGGGCAGAGGAGCACTGGTTGCATTCAGCGAGACCTACGAGCTGCTCTCATTCCCTCCTGCCCCCATTTTACAAAAGTGGAAACCAAGACTCAGAAAAATCACCCGTTCCTGCCCAAGGTCACACAGCTGGTTAGCGGTGGGCACTGTATTTAATCGTAGGACCAAGTAACTTCAAAGTCCATGAGAGCTGTATTCTCGTGCTGGGGCAGGGACGGTTCCTCGAGCGGACGTCTGTAAGCATGCCTGGAGGGGAGAGTCCTGGGCCCTTACCATAGGCAGCAGGAGGAAAGCAGCCAGGGAGGCTTGCAAGATGCCGGCCATGATGCTTCTCAGCCCGGACGGAGACTCAGACCAGCTATGCTTGCCTCCCGCTCAGAGCAGCCGCTCGCCAGCCCCGCGGTGTCTATGGGCTGGAGAGAAAGGAAGGCATGAGTCCTGTGGGTCCCCTGGCAGGGACAGGTATTCCTCCTGACAGCCCCCCTTATCTACAGCAAGGCTCTCAGCCTATCAGGGTAAGTCCCTCCCTGCCTTGGTATATGTGTTCCTTACTCCTCTAGCAAACAAATATCCACTGAACACCTACGCAGCGCTCGGCACTGGGGATACAATGCAGGTCACAAGGGCTCAGGACCCCATCAGGCCATCAGAATGGTCTGCATGGCTTTCTTCTCTGTAGCAGACAACTGTCTCCCCCAGCTCCCTCCACTGTGACAGAGTTTTTGCCAGCATGCCCACCTAGAGAGAACATTACTCGTTCCTTCCCGCTTGCAGGTGCGGGCTTGTGACACAGGCCCCACCTACGGAATACAGGTGGGAGGGACAGGTGCCACCCGCAGACCCCCCGTCCACGAGGCAGCAACCGTTCTCCACTTCTGCTCTTTTGCCCTGCCTGAATGCCAGAGCCAACCCCTGGGCCGTGGGAAGCCCCACGCTGAGAGGAACAGGATCACCGTGAGCACCCCACCAGCCTGGGAGACCACCCTAGCTCCCAACTGCCATGTGAAAAAGAACTGCTCCCTGACTCCCGTGCCCACCACAGAGCATCGCTTCATTCCAGCTGCCGGGCCAGGGCTGCTTAGACGTAACCTCCTTTCACCCTTCCTCGGCCCACTGGGCCTCCAGGAGAAAGCAGTGGTTGCTGAAGAGCATGCTCCAAGAAGGGTAGGTCCCTGAGGACGGGGGCTGCCGGTGGGGACCGGACAGGGGACCGGAATCCAGCGGGAAGGGTGTGGGGGCCCTGGCACATTCCCGAGGGGGAGAGTCTGGTCTGCTTCTAAAATCGATTGTTAGCACACATTCCCTTCACCCCAGCAATTCCGCATCTGAGTATTTATCGAGAAATACTTGCACTTGTCTGAAAAAAAGCACGTGCAATGGCAGTCACTGCAGCATCACTTAAAATAGCATCCACAGCAGAAAAGGAAACAACCCAGCATCCATCAAGCAGACCCTGTTAACAGGCCCCAGCAGCCATGCAAGGGAACACCACACAGTAATTTAAGAATTATTATTCGCATTCCTATTAAATTATTATTAAAAGGATTCAGTCGGCTGGTGTCAGAGCCCCCACCACAGGTGCCTGGGCTCAGAGACCCCTGGTGGGGGGTGCACCCCAGCCATTAGTCTCCACATACCCCCCACTCCCTGGGCAGAGCTGCTGTGACCCTCATTCCTTTTGTGCCCCTGGCTTTTTGCCACCCGTGTGTCCTCCCTCCCTCTCCCCTAGCTTCTCCAAGCTCACTTTGGTGACCAGCAAGTACCCAAAAAGGAGAAAGCAAATGAGCCGCAGGATAGCTCCACCAAAGGGGGACCCTGTCTTACCCACCTGTTGCTCTACTCCTCAGGGCCCACTCAGAGATGCTGAGAAAGGCCTTGGGGGTCCCCAAGAAATGCTCTGAGAAGCCCAGGGGTCCCTGAGGATGCTGATGCAGGCTTTCCCCTGTGGGTCAGGAAGGATGGGCAGGCTGGGGGAGCTCTGGCCCCAGCATCCCGGCACCCCGAGGCACCGGCTGTGCCAGACTCTCAAGCCTGGGTTTCTATACAGGACCCTCCACAACTCTGCTGGTCACGGGCTGCTTCTGGCATGACCAGGCACTGCTGGTCCCCAGGGGGCTCGGTCAACCCCACTCTCCCTGAGCAGCCTAAAGCCCTGTGTGCTGAGGCTGGAGCTGACCCTCTGACCCACCTGGCTGGGGCAGAGGAATGCCCGGCCCCCTGCCCACAGCAGAACCTGCAGGCTGTCTCTCTTGGCCAACGGAGGGCTTAGAAAAGCTACTGCAAGGCATCGAAAGCCTGAGATCCGCAACTGACTCCTCCCGACCTGGGACAATATCAGGCCAAAGGCCAGTGAGATGTGAAGTCAGGTGGGTCCCCACCCACGACCATGCCGGGTGGCTCTGGAACCTCTGTCAGCCCATCTGGCAGGGCCACCAGCAGCCTCAGCCCACAGGCGACACCTGGGCTCCGGCCCCGGCACCCAGCCACAGTCTAGACCGTTGACTTGTGTGGGTCTCAGCAGTCTTAGCCAGGAGGAAGGTGACTTCTCCTCTCAGCTCCCTCCTGGCCAGCAGGGCCCAAACAAGAGCCAGAGAAGGAAAATGGGTACACAGCCTGTGTCACCAAGTGGACACAGTGCTCCTTCCTCAGGGGCCACCTCTCTTGTGCTCCCAGCAAGGTGCCACCAGAAATAGGGCCAGTGGCTGTCTCTGTCCCTTGGGGGAGAACTCTGCCCTGGGGCACAGAGCAAGGTTCCTGGAGAGGACATGTGGCAAGAGCACTCAGCCATGAAATCGGGGCTCCCTGCTCTCAGCAACACCCTGAGATGGCAATGGCACTACCTGCCTCCTTCAGGACGGGGACCCCGCAAATGAACACTTGCCGCCCCCTCTCTGGCCCCTCTTAGCCCACACTCAGCCTGGACCACCCATCAGAACCACTGAGGACCGTTTAAAGATACCCCCGCCAAACTGAACCACTGCCTCTGGGGTGGGGGCCCAGATATCAATGCTGGTTTTGGCTCTCCAGGTAACTCTCACAGAGAGTGGGATTTTAAAATCCCCGTTTTGACCTTTATTAGAACTCAGAGAGCTGGCCCGGGAGAGCAAGCAGCTTCCACGCCTCTGGTTGCTCTAGGGGCAAATGGGAGCACCAAGCAGGCAGAGAATGAATCTGTGTTTGAGAGCTGGCTGATTTCTGATTATCTCCTCTCTCTCTCTCTCTCTCTCTCACACACACACACACACACAAATACACAAATACATAGAAACAGGTCCACAGAGAAGAGCACAAACAAACGTCAACCCCACAGAGTCAAAGAGAGACATTTATCCCCAGGGGGCATCGGTGCCCTGCCAGGCATGGAATACACAAAGGTAGAGACCCCTTCAGGGGCCGACAGACAACTCCGCACACACTCACACACACGGCCCTCGCGGAAGCACAGACACACACGCAAAACACAGAATAAAGACACATACAGATGCAACCAGACGGCGGTGCCGGGATTCACCTGCGTTCGTCCGATCCCCGATCTATGTAGTAACACACACCCGAAGCTGCAAAGGCATTCAGACACACAGAGGCAATGAGATACGTCTGGACTCAGGCCCGGGCGCACACACACACATACCTACATACCCACGCGAGCACGTACACGCTCACGCACTGGCACGGGGACGCCAGACTCGAGGGACGCCCCTGCCTGCTCCCAGCAGGCCCGCTGCTCTGATGAAAAACAAGCCGAAACAGAGGCCCCCGCCCGACCATCCCCCAGCTCTGCTTTGTCACCAGGCTGCTTGGGCCATGAGGGGAAGCAGCCCAGTGACGCAGGGTGGAGGGGCTGGGGTAGGCTCAGCTCAGGGTCTCATCTGGAGCTAGACCCGGGCTCCCCATGCCCACCGCTGCCCCCCCTTTTTTTTAATTAAGATATAATTGACATATAACGTTATCTTAGTTCCAAGCACACAATGTAAGGATTTGGTACTTGTATATATTATCATCACAATAAGTCAAGTTAACATCGTCCCCACACAGTAACGTGATTATCAACATGATAACTCTTAAGATCTAGTCCCTTAGCCCACTCTTGCCTCTTGTCTGCTCTCCCCACCACTCCCCGGCCCACTGGACTCACCCGAGAGAGAGAGAGAGAGAGAGAGAGAGAGCGAGCGAGCGCGGGAGCTCTGGGGCCTTGATCTTTCCACACCCCCGCCCTAGCTGGGGACTCAGGGACCTTCTCTAGCTTCTCCAAGACGATAGTCTCCTCAGCCCCTTCTGGCATTTCTGCCCGCCCCGCTGTCCATGCTCTGACACCTCCCGGCCCCATCCTAGTTGCACAGCGTTCAGAGTTTATGGCTGGAGGCCACCTGCCCTCGAACCTGCTCCCCTTGTGAACTACAGGCATGTGCCCTGAATGCGCCCCCTGGGCCTGCCGCCTGCAGCCCAGTCAGTGGCTCCTCCCCCTTGTCCTGGCTGCCTTCCTGCTCAGCACTCCCTCGAAACGGCCAGTGACCCTCGCACAGGACAAGGCTAGGCATGGCCACTGCAGCCTGCGGTTGGGCTCTCGCCTGCCCGGCCCTTTCAGCCCAGCCACGCAGCTGGCGCAGGACGACCTGGTCACCAATAATCTTAGGCTCACTGTCTTGGGTCCAGGCTCTGCTGGGGCAACTGGCTTTTACAGCTGATCTGAGAACAATTAAACTCGACTACCTGGCATTTACGGTGATGGGCATGGAGACCATTCTGCTGGAGTTTTAAGTCTTAGCCCTTCAGACAAGCCAGTTTTTCCTGTGCCTCAATTTGACTGTCTGTAAAATGGAAATAACAGGAACGCCTATGTCGTGGAAGTAAACTACGGAGCACACAGCACAGCCTGGTTCCCAGTAGGGCCATGTGGGGATTAACTGTTATGATTCTTACTACTCTGTTCAGGTTTTTGTACCTCTTGCTATCACCTCCATCCCATAGCCCTGTATCCCTTTCAAAATGGCAGCAGCAGGACCGCTGCACCTTTATTTGCTCAGGACTAACATTTATTAGACACTCAGTATATGCCAGGCACTCTTCCAAGCAACCAATTTGCATTAACTCCTTTTACCTGCCCAAAACCTTGAAGCAGTTACTATCATTATCCTCATTCTATAGCTAAGGTAACTAAGGCACAGAGAGCCCAAGTTACTTCTCCAAGGTCACACAGCAAATATGTGGTAGAGCTGGGAAGGGAACCCAAGCAGGCTGGCTCCAAAGCTTATACACTCCATCCTTACACTCCTGCCATTCTATGTCTCTCATAAAAGGAAGATCAGCTCAGAACTCATTGTATGTTATTAGTGATCCTTCTCACACCTTTGGGGATTGGTCAGACCTTCTGGTACCCCCTGCCCATAC